TGCTTCTGCTGTTCCAGTTGCAATATCGCTTATATTAGCCGTAAGACTTGTGCCGGCGGCACTCCGCTGCTCGCCGCGTATGAATCGTGGTAAAATAAATATGGTCACTAATGAAATAATATGAAGGCACAAAAAAAATCTCAGGTACAATTTCATGCTGCCCTGCAATATTGAAAAGAAACAACAACAAGTTAATGGAAATTTCGAGCGCATTAATCGGGGGGGCAACAACTTACCATAAATTCAAGCAGAACAAATGGGAATGTGGTGTAGCCCATCACGATGCGTGTGGTGATGATGGTTAGAATGTCGTAGAACATGCGCGTGAATTGTGTGCTCTGGAAGCGATAGCGGAGCATGCGACGCGCTGTCCGCGCTGCTGTTACCATTAAGGCACCCGTGGCAAAGGTCAAATAGTAGCCAGGATAGAAGCCATGCCAAACGGCGCTCAAGGCGAACGTCAACAATGTGCCATACTGTTTGGGCACACGCTCATAGACGAGCGTACGGAGCCAGCGATTCGTGCCGCAATTCCAATTGTTGATGGCATCGCGCATATTCGACGCAAACTGCAAGTGGATCGGGTATTAATAAATCTATATCATTTCTGCTCGTCTCAAGTTGAGTGTAATTGAAGCTGCGCTTACCTCGAATGACAGCACATTTATGTTGGATATTAGATCCCATTTGGCATTGCCATCCTTGTCGTAGCCGGTGAAACCCAAGCCCGAATTATTGCATATGGCATCGGCTAGCAGCCAGGCATGATAATACTTAAAGCGTATACAGGTGGTTGCCATCATGGCATACCAGAACTTATAGGGTATGCTGGTGCCATTAATAAAATCATCCTCTTTCATATTCTTCACGGGATAGATTTTGACAAACTTCATAAATATGAAGGCGCACACCATGCTGCCGAGCACCTTGCGTATCACGGTTTTCGTTGGCGACGGCTCCACCACCAGCTCCGTCTTGCCATTGTCCAGACTGGCCTAAAAAAAGCAGAATCGAAAAGTCAATTTCATGTGTAATGAGAGAGCTGCAAATTGAAATTGATGAGTCAGACGGCAGACAACGACGACCAGACCAGAGCAGATGGCAGACAGTGGCCCACACACAACCAATCACCCCACCCCTTCCCGCCGCCTGGCTTGGCTTGGCTAATGCAATCATTGCAGTTGTCCGCATAATGATTGCGGCGACTGTGCCATCTGTGTGGTCCACTTACATTGCTCGCCGGACGCTTCAACAGATTGTAGCCCTCCACAAACTCAATGTAGTCCTTGTAAAAGACCAATGGACCGGCCATAAGGCTCTGAAAGTGCCACACATACGAGAAAAACTCCAATGCGGTTGGCATTTTTCTAATCGCATGATATTTCTGCGCCCTTGTCAAGTCCTGCAACAAAAGCATTAGCAATTGATTGGACTTCAATCAATCAATCAATCACTCACCTCATCCTGGCGCACAAAGCCATCGTGTATGCTAAATGCCAGGCTGGTCACCTTCTGCGTGATAATCATCAGCGGCCCAGTTATGTCCAAGGCATAGGAGCCGTAATCGTAGATCTGACGCATCAGGTGCACGCACAACAGGTAGCCCATGGCCACCAGCAAGACGCTCCTTGAAAACAAAAACAACAACAATTTAGTTTTGGGCACTTCATTGGGAATCATTGCCGTTCCACCCACCTCTGCACAATGCGCGGATCCTGTGTGCGTATCACGATATAGCATAAGGCCGGCAATCCGGCGATGTGTATGGCCTGCTGGCCAAAGCAAAAGTAGCCAAACGCCAGGCCCAGGGACATGGCGAAAACGTGTCGCACCTCATAGGAGACCTTCGATGGATGCAGCCACGAGCGGAAGAGCGAGGCCAGGAAGAGTGCCGACATCTGGCAGATTAAAAAGTTGACCTGCAGATTAAAAAAGAAAGAAAGTTAGATAAACATCAAAAATAAAACATTGACTGATTGATTGAGTGATTGACTGACTGACTGACTGATAAGGGAAAGAAATATGTAGCATTTCGTGAAAGCTTAGCTGTGCTTAAAAAAACTGATTGATTGATTGACAGACTAGCTACTGATTGATGGTAAATGCACAGCAAAAAGTAAGATAAAGGAGGAAGAAATATATGGCATATTGTAACTGGAACTAGAACAACTGATTGATCTATTGATTGAAAGACTAACTGGCTGATTGATGATAAGGGGATAAAGGAGTAGAAAAACTGATTGATCGATTGATTAACAGACTAACTGGCTGATTGATGAACAGCACACAGCACAACCGTTAGATAATGCAGAGATATGTATTTATTAAGCTGACTAATTGATTGATTAACAGACTGTTTGATGACTGACGGATCAACCCCAAGAGTGGACAATTTGTGGTAGCATATTTTCAAAGATCTGAAAGATGTGAAAAGTCATTGATAAAATTCATTGTAAAACCATAAACATAAAATACTGATTGATTGACAGGCTAATTGACTGATTGATGATTAACAGAACAAGCCATTAAAGCCAGAAAGCTAGAAAGAAGTCATATGGAATTTTGGAAAATTCCTTCCTCATAAGTGGAAAATTGGTGAAGTACGTTTATATATATATTTTTCCATTCAATCTGCTACGAACTCGTTTTTAAAGATGTTTGTGAAAATTCATTGGAAATCAATAAGTAGAAAATGGTTATCCCAGATGATACCTAAATCGATTTGAATACTAATCAAATATAATTTTCCGAGTTCAAGCTGGTTAATTTAACAGAATACTATAATTCGATTGAAGATATCTTACAAGTTCTACGGCATATATGTATATATTATAGGCTAACACTAGACACACCGCCCATAACTTGTTTTGTTGTGTAATTGGCCCGCATTTAAGCGTTTACAATTGCGGCTACGACTGCCATATATACATAAAAGTATATCAGATATATTTATTTATATATATATAAAGTACGGTTGACGCACATTGCTCTTGAACATGATCGGAAATCGGGTATCACGCGATCTGATCAGTGTACAGCTGCAGAGCTAGCTGACTGACCGTGGCCTTGGCCATCGTTTGACATATTCTATGCCGATCTCGATTTGATATTTCTATGTCGGCCAGATGTGTCTTCTGTATAGTATATAGATATCTGTATATTTACGCTTACAATTGCAAGTGCTCGAATTTCTCTAGCGCGCACCTTGCCAACAGTCGACGTCTGCCGTTCAAATAGGGTCTAATTAAAATAGATTGCTAATTTATGGACTCTATAACAAATTACACGACTTTTTAAACATGAATTGGCGATGGAAGATTGAAGAATTTTAAATTTTAAGTTATATTGAATGAAGATTTAATGTGTTAAACATGTATAGATAGCTACAAGAATATTTAGTGGAAAACTACGTCATGTTAGGACAGTCACGTAACGGATGTTACGTAATGGATGTCACGTAACGAATGGTACGTAAAGGATGTTACGTAACGGATGTTACGTAACGGATGTTACGTAACGGATATTACGTAATGGATGTCACGTAACGTATGTTACGTAACGTGTTACGTAATGGATGTCACGTAATGGATGTCACATAACGGATATCACGTAACGGATATTACGTAACGAATATCACGTAACGAATGTCACATAACGGATATTAGGTAACGGATATCACGGAACGGATATAACGTAACGGATATTACGAAACGGATGTTAGTAACGTTTTATATGTAAGTTTGTTTTAAAGAACATATTGCAACATAATTTTTTTACGAAAGGGAAGTTTTCGGACTTTTATTTTCATATATAGATATTACGTATAACGTAAGGTGTACCGTAGATACGTAGGTACCTAAATTGTACACCAAAAATAGTGTTGATAAAGACCGAAAGACTGAACGGCTCCCCTAGAGAGCGATAGATAACCAATTGTTATCGCTCATATTCATTTCGCTGCGTTCTTTTCGATATCATTCTGTGTGAGAGCTGATAGCGCAAGGCCCCGACAAAAAATAAACCCATTAACAATTATGCACCACAAACTTGGGGGCACAACGATATTTCATTGTCAAGGCATGCCTATTCTTTAAGCCCCACACCCATCGGCCAGTGTTAAGCCTTCCAAGGCGGATGTGTTGTTTTGTTATCAACTGGCGACTGTCCAACTAAACCTTATCTGTTTTCTATTATTGTCTGCCACAGTTGAAATCAGTGCGAATATTATATTATAAGTATGTTAATGTACCCCTTATCAATCACAGACGCATATAATCATCGGAAAATGAACTCATTTCAAGTATTTACAGCGTCAGAACAAAGAAATTAGCAATCAATGCCGCAAGTTTAAACGTAGCTATTTATAAAAAAACAAAGCAATTTGTATATATGTATATATATATTTAAAATGCATGAATGACTTTTCTTTGTGGAATTTAACAGCTGTAAGAAGCGTAAGCAAAAAGCAAGTGGTTTAAGGTCATATTTGTATATAAGCTAGTACAAACTCCAACCTAGCACAATCTTCTGACAAGACATCACAATAATAATCGGCCATAAATCGAACCCGGAATTTCGTTGTTCGATTGACTGAATCATTAAAAACATATATATTTATATATAATATTTAAATAATATATATATCATTTAAATTATTTGAACTTTTTAATGTAGCTTATCAAAAAAACAAGAAAGTACTAATAACAGAGATAACCTTGAGGGTTATCGTTCAGTTGAGAAATAAATGGGACAAGCATATTGTACTTATAAAGTACAGATAATATTAATCGATAAGTTCTTTGTATCTGAACCAGTTGAGCAATCGAACTAGGATAAAAGAACTACTCTAAAAAGAACGAACGAGTGAAACGAGTGAACCGCTTCGCGAACGAGTGATCCGAACACGAATAAAAAAGCGTTTCCATTTGAACTAGCTTTTACATCCCAATTTGCATATAGTATTTAGCAATTCGGAACTAGTTCGAAAATGTGAGCAAAAATATGTATAAGCTGCGATTTATTTGAATTGATTTACATTTTGGCTAGGCGCGTTATATAGTCAGTTAATAGAAGGATTTTGGTCAGTTTGCTTGCCTTTGTCTGCGCTCAATTACGCTGGGCGGAACAGTTCAGGACCAGGTTGCGACGGCGACACTTGCCAGCCTCGATATCGAACCAGCTGCCCGCCTTGCAGCGGCGCAACACGCGGGCACCGCCGCTGCACTGGTAGAACCGGCGGCAATGCTTCGAGTCCTGCAGGAAAACGCCGTCGGCTCTGTTCTGACAGTCGGTCCTGGAGGTGCTGACGAGACTTAGCAGACGATTGACAATAGGTTTAACTTCTTCTGTAATTTCTTCCTCACAAGGTGTGGTGGTTGGTGGATCACACGGTGTGGTTGTGGGTGGCTCACAGGGAGTTGTGGGTGGTGGTGCTGTCTCGCAAGGAGTAGTCGGTGGTGGTGCTGTCTCACAGGGAGTTGTTGTTGGTATTGCCGGTGGTGGTGCACATGGTGTTGTTGTAGTTTGACGACGACAGGGTTGCTTGGTTGTAGTTATAGTTTCACTTGGCGTCGTTGCGGGTGGTGCGCATGGTGTTGTAACTGTTGTAGGTGGGGGTGCTGTTTCACAAGGAATTGCTGTGGGTGGAGGTGGTGCGCTTGTTGTTGTCGGTGGTGGTGCTGTTTCACAAGGAGTTGCTGTGGGTGCAGGTGGTGCGCTTGTTGTTGTTGTTGTAGGTGGTGGTGGTGCGCTTGTTGTTGTTGTTGTAGGGGGTGGTGCTGTTTCACAAGGAGTTGTTGTAGGTGGTGGTGGTGCGCTTGTTGTTGTTGTTGTAGGGGGTGGTGCTGGTTCACAAGGAGTTGTTGTGGGTGCAGGTGGTGCGCTTGTTGTTGTCGTTGTTGTAGGTGGTGGTGGGGCGCTGGTTGTTGTTGTTGTAGGGGGTGGTGCTGTTTCACAAGGAGTTGTTGTAGGTGGTGGTGGTGCGCTTGTTGTTGTTGTTGTAGGGGGTGGTGCTGGTTCACAAGGAGTTGTTGTGGGTGCAGGTGGTGCGGTTGTTGTTGTTGTTGTTGTAGGTGGTGGCGGTGCGCTTGTTGTTGTTGTTGTTGTAGGGGGTGGTGCTGTTTCACAAGGAGTTGTTGTGGGTGGAGGTGGTGCGCTTGTTGTTGTCGTTGTTGTAGGTGGCGGTGCTGTTTCACAAGGAGTTGTTGTGGGTGAAGGTGGAGGTGGTGCGCTTGTTGTTGTTGTTGTAGGGGGTGGTGCTGGTTCACAAGGAGTTGTTGTGGGTGCAGGTGGTGCGCTTGTTGTTGTCGTTGTTGTAGGTGGTGGTGGTGCGCTTGTTGTTGTTGTTGTATGGGGTGGGGCAGTTTCACAAGGAGTTGTTGTGGGTGAAGGTGGAAGTGGTGCACTTGTTGTTGTTGTTGTTGTAGGGGGTGGTGCTGTTTCACAAGGAGTTGTTGTGGGTGGAGGTGGTGCGCTTGTTGTTGTCGTTGTTGTAGGTGGTGGTGCTGTTTCACAAGGAGTTGTTGTGGGTGCAGGTGGTGCGCTTGTTGTTGTCGTTGTTGTAGGTGGTGGTGCTGTTTCACAAGGAGTTGTTGTGGGTGCAGGTGGTGCGCTTGTTGTTGTCGTTGTTGTAGGTGGTGGTGGTGCGCTTGTTGTTGTTGTTGTTGTAGGGGGTGGGGCTGCTTCACAAGGAGTTGTTGTGGGTGAAGGTGGGGGTGGTGCGGTTGTTGTTGTCGTGGTTGTAGGTGGTGGTGCTGTTTCACAAGGAGTTGTTGTGGGTGGAGGTGGTGCGCTTGTTGTTGTTGTTGTTGTAGGGGGTGGGGCTGCTTCACAAGGAGTTGTTGTGGGTGAAGGTGGGGGTGGTGCGGTTGTTGTTGTCGTTGTTGTAGGGGGTGGTGCTGTTTCACAAGGAGTTGTTGTAGGTGGTGGTGGTGCGCTTGTTGTTGTTGTTGTAGGGGGTGGTGCTGGTTCACAAGGAGTTGTTGTGGGTGCAGGTGGTGCGGTTGTTGTTGTTGTTGTTGTAGGTGGTGGCGGTGCGCTTGTTGTTGTTGTTGTTGTAGGGGGTGGTGCTGTTTCACAAGGAGTTGTTGTGGGTGGAGGTGGTGCGCTTGTTGTTGTTGTTGTTGTAGGGGGTGGGGCTGCTTCACAAGGAGTTGTTGTGGGTGAAGGTGGGGGTGGTGCGCTTGTTGTTGTCGTTGTTGTAGGTGGTGGTGCTGTTTCACAAGGAGTTGTTGTGGGTGGAGGTGGTGGTGGTGCGCTTGTTGTTGTTGTTGTAGGTTGTGCTTCTGTCTCACAAGGAGTTGTTAGTGGTGGTGAGGGTGGTGGCTTTATATCGCATGGAGCTTTCGGAGTGGTTGTCTCGCATGGGGGAGGTGTGGTTGAGCAGGGCTCGTGCTCTCCTGCATCCAAATCTAGAGCAACGCGCAGCGCCAAGCCCCTCAAATTGATACAGTGGACCAAGCTGGCCGACTTACAGGACTGGCTAGCCTCGTCATAGTACTGTCCCAGGCGGCAGGTGTGATGCACAGCTTTGCCGCGCGTGCAGACATAATAGCCGGCACACCTAGCTGGATCAGTTAGAAGGGCGCCATTAGCCAGGCTATTGCAGCTGGGTCGCAGCCTTTGGTCGGCACTCGTGGGTGCTACGACAACTGCGGCAATTGTCACTAAGCCCACAAGTAGAACGTGTACTGGAAAAGGACATGCGTAAGGGCGGGTGCGGGTGTGGGTGTGCGGGAATGTTTATCACTTACAAGATTTCATCTAAGACTCTGCTTTGCTCGAAAGGATAACTAACTGAAGTGTGTTACTTTACCGCTTTCGATTCTTAATTGTTGCAGCCGGAACTGCAGAACTGTCTTTTATACTCAATGCCCATTTGGTTGGGCAGCTTCAACTCAAGTGCTTTACCAACCAATTTGGCTAATTGGCAGCAGACAAATGTTTCCCATATTGTCAATACAATTTAAATGTAGATAATGAAACTACATTTGCATGTAACTCTGAGTACTTCTGTGCTTACAACTGACGCTCCCTTAGTGCTTAGAGATGGTACACATTGAAAATGTGGAAGGCGGGTTTTATATATCTGTATTTTTGTATCTGCGATCCCATAAGGGAGTCATACTTAGATTGCTTCAACTGGGTATATAAGCCGTGTGTCAATAAAAGGTATTTAAGGAAGAAAAGACGCTAAGTAAAGCTGGGTAGTTTTAGTCTAAGACACTGTCGATCAATCCTTCGACTCCAGACTTCTTAAAAACTAAAGTCTGTTGATTTAATTTCATCACATATTCTCACATTTGCTCATCGTGGCCTGATATGGGCACCATTTGTGCGTCATAAAGATAAGTTCTAGGCTCCAAAAGCGATTGACGCATTCAGATACGCGACACGGTTGTGATTTCCCAAGTCTATTGAATATTCATAAAGGTTTGCGATACGAACTTGTACTCTTTGGTTTCTTTTTTTTATGCCGGACAATGTCATCTGCCCAACAGCTATCCATCAATCTTGTTTCGGGAATCTGCAATGTTGTAATATTGTTGCAATGCACACGAATGTTGATCAACCAGTTTTACACCGAAACCCAAGATAGTGTCTACAAGCGACAAGCGCACAAGCGTGTTTAACAAAACTAACCAAGCCAACTCCAAGACCAACAAAAGGGAATAAAACTTTGTAAATCAAAGAACGATTCACGACAAGGAATATATATTGAAATGCACATTCAATAATCAACAAACTATATCATAGTACCATAAATGCCAGCCAGAAAAGACAAGTACGCGGAAGGAAGTTGTCTGTCAGTTGGCTGAGCTAAGCCAAGGCCTTTGTTTGAAAACAGCTTTGGGGAGGAGAGGGCCCTCAGACCCACGCGCGGCGGGACGGCGGCCAGAAGCTTACATCACACGAGGCGCTCTCGCCGCCGGGTTAGACCAAAAAACAGGTCTCTCCATACATGTGCTCAAGGTAAGATGATTCAAGTGAGCATGGAATTGCGCTGAAGCAAGCAGTCAGCGAATCAAGTGCTAAATACGGCCATTGACAATAGTAGGAAAATATTTCAAGTGGGTTTAAAATAAAAAGCTAAAAACTTGGGCCGGGAAAGGCCGGATAATAGCCGCAACAAAATGTTCTCTTTTACTAAACCAAATTTTTTATGGTCCCAGCCGCTCGTTAAAACGTATTTTTAAACAGCGCCCTACTGCGCAATTCTCATAAATTATAGCTTATAGGTTAGTAAGGTTGATTGATTGGGCGTGGGTCATAAAGTATTTGAAGAGTAACTGTCAGTTTGTCATTGTGACTACAAAATAAAAATATCGCTCATCTCTAGGAATCAGCTCGGCTCGACTCATTCTTCTCCCATTCACTTTCTTTGTTTTGTTTGTCCCTTCTACAGAGGAAATCAAAGCCGTTAAATGTTCAGTTTTTAATTCGCTGCAATTTTTAGCTTAGAATCTTTTTTACACGTTGCCAATAAAGCGCATTAATCAATCACTTGGCGTGTTAATGACTTCTTGTTGTTGCTGTTGGTGCAGCGCAGAGCAACAGAATAAATAAATAAAATAAAAGCAAGCCATAAATCATTTAATTAAATTCGGCACCCCCCTGTTTGTGCTTTGCCACACGCAATGAACTTTGTGAGAGGCGGGCGAATAAAATAAAAAATCGCCAAATATCAGCGAATACGAAAATGTGGCGTGATGACTATAAATAAATAAATAAAAAAAAAAAAACAATAAAAGCAACAACAAATATTCTCTACGTGTACGTGTGATAAAAACAAAAAAAAAAAAAGGCTAAAAACTTTTTGGGTACACACAGGTAGATAAGAGCAAGAGCAGAGTTTGTAAAACCATGAACTCGTTACACTTTCGATTCTCGATGCTTGTTGGTGATGACACTATCGATGGCACGAAAAGTAAATAATTTACCGGTGCGCTAGGTTATTAAAACATTCTCCAATTTACACAAGGCAAACAAAAATTTATTAATTATAAGTGGCGCCATATGGCAGCAACAGCTGGCGATTGGCAGCCTAGAGCAAGGCGCAAATAACAAACAAGTTCAAGCTGTACACAAAGCTCAAGGTCACACAAATATTAATTTCATTTAATTTATGCATATTCACACGAGTAGAGAAATGGCAACTGAGAGAATTTCCGTTATTGCCATTGTTAACGACCGCTCTCACTCGTGCCTGCTGCTGTGCGCGCTCTCTTCTATTTGAAGCGCAACTGGTTGCTACGCATCTCTGCGATATACAACTGTTGCGCACGTGAACTAGTTCAGGTTCAGTACTTTTGCTGCGCACTTGCCTTGGCTTTTTAGTGCGACGCACAAATGAACAATGCAGAAGTGAAGAGAGCAAAAGCGTGGGTGTTCTAAAGTTCAAAAGAGCGCAAGCTTGCCGGCTGTTAGCTGTTTTTACTGGTTCGTTAATTAACACTGAACATAAAAATATTTATTTGACTGCAACAATTGGCCAATTTGCAGTTAAGGCAGAAATATTGTGTGTGTGTGTGTGTATTTGCGTGCCGGGATTTGGCCTTCCGCTCCATTTATATAGTAAAACTTAAATAGTTAACCAAATATTTTTGGTGCTAATGATAAAACTGGTAAACAGCGACAGCCCGATTACACCAGACAGCGCCAAAGCACGTCACGCTACATCGGACCACCCACACACACACACTCACTCACACACGCGCGCATACAAAGAAAAACAACGACCTTCCTGCGAACTAAAATGTGTCACACGTAAAACAAAAATAGTAAAAATTGCGAGTGAGCCAATTAATTGTTTATAGCGCGTTTCAAGAAACTGAAACACCCTGTGCACAAGAGCCATGTCTGCGGCTACATAATGTATATCTGAGTCATTCAACGACTCTCACTCTCTCAGCTGTTGCTCATCTTTGTTTACAAACAAAACAACGTTTCAAAGTTGAATTTTTAGGCAAAAGTAAATACAAAACAAAACAAAACAAAAATCATAAGAACGCAACAAACTTTGTCTGTTCTCACATTTTACTTGAGTCGGGCGGCTGACGACATATGGGATTAGATCATCGAAAAAAAAAAAGTGACTTTAATAGAGGACCATTTGAATTTGTTGTTAACATGTTAGCCAATTGTCAGTACCTGCACACAAACACACGTTTTCGCATTAGATTAGCGGACTGCTAAGCGCCACTCGAAACGGATTTAACAACCTTCCGTGAGTGTAAGCCGAGCTTATAAGTACGTACACACATGCACACATACATAGATATCTATATCTAGTTAATCACATTCTCTCTCTGCTCTCTTTCAATATTACGTTCTCGTTCTCACGGTTTCATTTATGCTAATGCGAAACGCGCGAGCTTGTGTGTGTGCGACAGAGAGCGCGGGTTAAACGTGTCGCTATTGCAGTCTCATCTGTTCACTCAATTGGCTGCGATTCTTCAAGTGTTGTGATTAATTCGCAACGAAATCATTCAATTACACAATTTTATTAACTGATGCACAATTCAAAAATACACGTGCCGACTAATCAACTAATAATAGCTATATTTATCAAATTGTATAAATAATAAAACATTTACATTTATTAGAGGTGGGCATGTGTCAGATTGTTGCAATACATCAACACGAACGGTAGACTTGTGTTGTTATTAAGAGTTACGTGCTCGTGTCACGCAAGAAAGCACGACACGCGCCCAGCTCTTATTTATATGCACATTAATTGCGTGTGTATATGATTTCACAACACAAACAATCGACAGAGGTTAATGACAGCGTGATAGAGCGCACTGCGCGAAAGTAGAACAGAAAAGGTAAACAGCAAATCAAATGCTTTGCTAAACGGCCAATTAGAACACAGCCAAATTCTCTGTTTGTTTGGTTTGTGTGCATTGGCGGCGATTTGAATGACAGTTTAAAGCGCACAACGAACTCGATTAACAGTACAGAAACTGTCAAACCGTCAACTTTATGCAATGCTCACACATTGACATGTTGCGCCTGCCTTAAAATGCGGGGGAGGGACCATTAGGGCGCCAGTTAACCTTAAAATCAAAATATGCAGCCGGCGTTTAGCCTTCACTTTAAAACTTTTGACAGGGCCAAAGCACAGGGTGAGACAATCCTTAACAATTGTGGCCAGTGGAACAATGTGGATATACTGGTTTGTTCCATGTACAAAGCAAAGATGTTGCATTACTAAATATATATGTATGTGTATATAAGTACACACACACACACGCACTCTGGCTACTGTATTGGTAGACAGCCAGGGGAGTATAGGGGGCAACAAAAGAAAAACTTACCAAATCAACAGACAGCCCAACCGCGTCGGCCAGCCAGGTAAACATTCGGCTGCCATCATACAAATCATTCTCAACAAACTTGGGTGATTCGAGCATTTTGGCTTATTTTTGTTGTTCTTTTGCAGCGTTGTCCTCGTTAAAGCTTCATTTGAACAATTACAGACAATTTAGCGCGTGGTTTGTTCACAAAGGAAACGCCGCTGCGTTCGTCAGGCTGAAATTCTAGCACTTTTTGAATATATTTCACTAAAATAACAACCCCAAACGTGTGGGCGTTATTTTGGACTGCGTTTTACGCTTTTTTGTTAATTTACTAGTAAAATTTTGTGCAATAATTTTTTGGAAGTGTTGCTCCGTATATGTATTTATTTTGTAATCGCACGATGCGTGCGTCAAAATGGCCGTTCTCTTTCCGTTGAGTTTCGTATTCGCGTGCTTGCCTCCGACACGATTGAAAGAGAGAATGAAACTGCGAGCAAGTTCTGTTTCAAATGAATTCGATGCCGAAATAAAAAAAATAATCTACACATATATGTTTGTACTTGTATAAGTGAGTAGTCGAACTTAAGCCTAATGATTG